AATTTCCTTTATGGTATCAGAGCAAGACTTCACGTGTTGGGCCCAACGGCCACACGTGCTCCCACGTCACCCAATATATGTTGTCCATGTGTTAGGCTTGAAAGTCTCCAACACGTGCGGGGGCGTGTTGAGAGTAATTGTCCCATATTGAAAAGTTAAGGGACCTAGCAAAAAAATATCATGCAAGAAGATATAACTACTGATCAGAAGCTATTGAACTGTATCATTGCAAGTAAAAATACGATTCAATTCAATAGATGCCAATGCAACGGAACTGAAAACAAATGTGATACTTTTTCTTTTCTCTGTTTTGGGTGGAAAATAGGAGTGGTATTTACGTTTGCTAGTAAAAACATTTTGTATTTGGGGCCTACCACTAAAAAGCCTAAAAATGTAATGACCATTAATCAATCTTGTTTGAATTCTTAAAGCAAATAAGGCTGTAGCATCTGATTCTTGCACCTTTTCGTGCAAATTACTGAGGAGAGATAGGCTATTAATTTTCACTATAAAAGTGCTCTTATCATTTAGTGGGTACTCGGGAAGCATATCTTCAACTTCTCTTTCTGATTACAAAGTAGGTAAGGAAACCTCAAATGGTCGATTATGAAGGTATGTGGTTGGCTGTGAGAAAGAGACATGCACTTTAATTTATAACCTATATATCCCAGATTAATGTTCTTATAACTAAGCACACTTACTCAAATATACACATTTTTCATGTGGAGTTGGAGAAACCATGTTTATTTTTCATACCTAAAACAATGAGTTTATCATAGCAAATTAGTGCAATGGGTTTGTATCTCAAGTGGTTAAGAGTAGTAACCATTGTTGTACCCAAGGTCTTGTGTTTGAATATATCATCTCCAATATCGCTCGTATAAAAAAAAGTTATAGCAAAATAGTATATATCAAGCAATTCGTTAGCCTAGATTGGATAATAAGCTAATAAATTGTTGAGAAATTTATAATAAAATTCATTTCTTCCATTGATTTTATATATAAACACTAAAAGCTATAAATTGAAGTAAAAACCCAAAAAGGACCAACTGATGTATGAAATACCATTATTATCCTTACATTATGATTTTTAGAAGAAAAAAAAGGGTAAATTTCATTTTACTACCTGGAAATTTCCCGAAATTCAGACTTTATTACATAAAGGTTTTTTCGTATCAACTTCATATCCAAAGTTTGACGTTTCTTCAATTTTCATACATCCGTGAATCATTCCGTAAAATACTATATCAAATGATGACGTGGCAGTTTTTCTCAAATGATAATGTGGTTTAATGATTCGTCCATATTTTGCCACATAGAACAAAAGGTAAAATAAATAATTTTGTTAAAAGGAAAAGAAAATGAAATATGTAGGAACATCACCTAAATTTTTAGCCATGTGTATGATTATCATTCAAAATTTTATTCCCTTTAATTTCTACTATTTATTATCTAAACTCTGTAAAAGTGTTGCAATTTACTACATACGTCAAGTCCATCCACATATTAGTAGTCATTAAAATCGATTTCCCTCCATAGCCATACCTAGAAATTTTGAACCTCCAAACCGATTGAACCAGATGAGTTGGTTGGGTATTTTTAACTCAATTTTTAGCTTTTGGTCCATAAACCAAATCTTTATAAGTCAGCTCAATCACGATTGAAGATGTCTAAAACCTTCGGTTCAACGAACCAAACCGACCAAGTTTTGTGTTATCAAAATATTGCAAAACTATGCACTTTTGGGGGATCCAAACCCTTAATCTAGGGGTCCGAATGAGGTCCTCAAGTGGACTACTTGGCTTTGATGTTAAATGTATGTACAACCATGGTATTTAATGACTTCTGAAAGAAATTTAAAAATATTATATAAAAAAACATCTCTCTGATTCCCAGCAGCTTCACTCATCCACTCTCGTATCTCTTTTTTTCTTTTTTTTTTCTTTTTGTTAGCCGATTCTCCCCCTCCCTATCTCTTTCCTCTTTATCGCCGCCCTCCTTCTTCATCTCCTCCTCTCTTTTCTCTACCTCTCGATATTTACCGTTGTTGAACTGTTCCAACCAGATTCATTTGTGTTAAGAGAATTTGTCCCACATTGAAAAATTAAGGGACCTAGCCTGGGTTTATAAGAAGTTGGGCTACTCCCCCAATGGTCAATTGGTTTTGGAGTGGAACCTCAATTTCCTTTATGGTATCAGAGCAAGACTTCACGTGTTGGGCCCAACGGCCACACGTGCTCCCACGTCACCCAATATATGTTGTCCATGTGTTAGGCTTGAAAGTCTCCAACACGTGCGGGGGCGTGTTGAGAGTAATTGTCCCATATTGAAAAGTTAAGGGACCTAGCATGGGTTTATAAGGAGTTGGGCTACTCCCCCCATTGCCAATTGGTTTTCGAATGGAACCTCAACTTTCTTCAATTTGATCAATTAATAGTCAGTAAATCGATGGAGTAGGCATCAGTGGGGGTTCCGATTTTCCTTTTATAAGATGCAATCATTAGTAAGCCCTAATTGAAACGTTTTTAACAGAAAAGTGGACAAAACCTTATGTAAATGGTAAATTACAATACTTTTAGAGTCTATGTCATTAATAATAAACATTGAAAATTCATTTGGTAATTGCGAAAAGTTTAAGTGCATTTTTGCAAAAAAAATAAATTAATAATAATAATAATAATAATAATAATAATAAAATTCTTTTTAAAAGAGCAAAGTGGACAAGAAGCCCAAAAATTTGTAATCAATATTGAAGCCAATTATATATATAGAGAGCGCTTCAGTTGAGAGATTCATCAAATAAATTTATTTCAGGGACGCCTTTGTAGATCTCACTCCGCATTGTATTTCACTAATCCAAACCGTTTATTTCGTAGATATTCCTTCAAAAAAATGACTTGAATCTGATATCATTTGGCCACTCAATTAAATTATTGAAATTTAAGTACTTTCTTAAAGCACCATATTCATTAATTTTGTAGGACACAATTAGATGTCGAAACTGTTTCTTATTGTCTAGTTTTTTTACAAAAATGATCTATGAATGTAGACTTAAGAATAGATGGTTGAGATCATTGAAATTTTTTTATAGTATGCCCTAAAGGGTATCCCTCAAATAAAATTATTTGAGTATCCCTCAATAGAGTATATATCATGTCTAGTGCGGCATATCAACTTGGTTAGCATTGCTCACATCACATAATGTCCCTTTTGATTATATTGTTTCCTGATTAGTGAACACTTGATTGTGACAATGCTCGTTGGAACTCATCATTCTGGGAAGCTTGACACCAAATGAAGGAGGACCATTCAAAGTGGCTTGAATAGTGCCCCCCTTACCATGGCAACTGCTGGAAGTGGAACTTACTTTTTGCAAGGGCAGACACTATTCCCGTGAATAGTGTCAGCCCTAGCCCCCCCTTGCCATGGCAAGATTTCAACTGCTGGAAGTGCCCTAAAGGGTGTCCCTCAAATAAAATTATTTGAGGATCCCTCAATAGAGTATATATCATGTATAGTGCGGCATATCAACTTGGTTAGCATTGCTCACATCACATAATGTCCCTTTTGATTATATTGTTTCCTGATTAGTGAACACTTGATTGTGACAATGCTCGTTGGAACTCGTCATTCTGGGAAGCTTGACACCAAATGAAGGAGGACCATTCAAAGTGGCTTGAAGGTTTTCAGCACCAAATCCACTGGTGGGTCTCCCAGCATGAGAATTGAGCATGCACTGGCCTTCATTTGGTTTATTAAGATTCTGCGTCCGATCCCAATATATATAATGAATTTGCAAAGCTACAAGCCCCTACTTTTGTCTACAAGAGATTCGGATGAATTTGCACAACTTGCTGGCATATCACCATGTGCCCATTTTCAAATTCAAATCATTAGAATTTTTTTTTTCGTGTAGCCGAAAAGCACTCACATTCCATAATAGTAATTACTAACTAGCAATGGCGATCAGTTGCAGCTTTGTTAAAGCAACGGAGGAGAGCTCAGATTCGATTGACCACTTTTCTTATAAATCTAAGCTTTATATTTATAATCGGGAGAATATTAATATAAATCAATACAAGAACGGGATAACCTCCATTTTCAATTTTACACTTTGCTTTTTGATTCAAAAGGGATCAATTGCTTCAAGGAATAATAGTATATCAACCATAATGTTTTGTCTAATGCTTGATTTTATGGTGAAATCGTCGAGCTATGACAACGGACTATGGACGCGGTGGATACTAGGGCTGCTGTGTCTTTCTTCTTCCCCTCCTAGTCTGTCTATTGTATTGCATTTTGGTTTTGTTGTCCTCCCTGTGGCTTGGACGTCCTTGTTTTTTGTTGTATTTCTTTTGGGTTTGGCTTCTTGGCTGCTCCCCTCTGGAACGAAAGCACTGTTTCTGATCCTAAAAAAAAAAAAGACAACGGACTATGTGGCAGTCTTAAGGACATCTAGACACTGAATAATACCGAATGTTGCTCTTGTAGAGGTGGAAATCTACTAGACCCCAAACTCTAAACTAAGTTTCGCCGTAATCGATTGCCCCTCCTCAGTTCCCCCTCCCTCTTGTTCAAATATAAAGCCCTAACCCGGTCAGCAAAGGTAAGACCAGGACTCGAAATGCTGAACTTCCCTAAGTTGTGATGTAAATGGAAACTTGGAGAACTCCAATTATCCAGGACTATTTCACAAGAGAGTTGTAAGCATGAACTACCATATCATAAAGTAAATATTCACCGCTCCACAGTAACACCTGCCTGCCACCATAAGTATTAAGTAGGATCTCCTGCTAGCATAAGTAACACCTGCCTACAAGGAGCTCTTCTAAACAGCACTTGTTGGTACTCAAGAGCAAGTTAATAATACAAAGAAACAAATTTTTCCTGCCACTTCTTCCTTTCTAAGTGTTTCTTAAACTCTATGGTTTCAATTAAATGAACAGAAATGATGAAGAGATAAAGAGTTTAAATAGGCGTTGAGGGGAAACAGGAGAGTATAACATTACTTCACCATTATTATATTGATACCGCAATGTGAGTTCTGTTGCACAATGTCATGAGATAATAAAAGTCTTCATGAATCAGTTCCACATACTCTCCTTTTTTTGTTTGGTTTATTTAGGTACCCCAACTTGAGGGAATCCCAACAAAAACTTACCAAAAAGGAAATGTATATATCTTATGGATGCAGTGGCTGATGATGTATATGCATTTATAACCGAAAAACTGAGACATGTAAAGTAGATTCATGTTTTACCCCAATGTTACTAATCTAGGAAAAGAACACTCTCATACTTGAACCAAAAAGTCCTACCAAATTATGTTTACCAGCTCACTCCATGAGTTAAAGCAGTTTTATCACCCAATCATCCACTATCCGAACATTAGGCTTGCGGATTGTTACCACAGTAGGGCCTTGCCTTGAATGAAGGAGAAGTGGACCTTTTTCAATTTCAGCCTTCTGATTTTCTGGTTCAATTAGAGCACTCTTCTGCCCAGTGGACAGTCCTTGCAAAATAATTCTCTCAATGACGCATTCTGAAGAAAATTGGGCTTGGCCAGGGGGAGTGGGTGCCAGATTAAGAGATGTTAGCTTCCCATCTGAAAATACAAATCGGCGATGGATATAGGCTCCTTGATGAAATTCAAAGCTTCTACCGTCATCGACATAGAGTTCACCTTCAGCTGCTTGTGAACTATTAAGTGCTATAACCTACAGCAGGTAGAAAGAAAATTAAAACCATCCAACCTGACATGCTTTTCATAAAAATTAAAAAAAAAAAAGGATTTTTTTCATAAAAACAAGTGCTACAAAGAGAAACTACAACAAAGTTCGACTTCACAGTCAAATGGTTATGGAGGTGTATACAATTTGGCATAGGAAGTAAATTCCACGAGACAACTGTTCACCCTATCATCAAAATTCTTAGGCGATACATAGATGTTGAAAACTAATAACACCATGAAGAAGTTGTCACAGTATACTGCAAAACATTGTCTCTAGGTCCTGATTGAAATGGAAATAGGGTCAAATACAATCTTCAATGCTCTTTAATTATGCTGCTAACCTACCCGATGTATCAGTATTTCCTAAAATCTTAAGATAAAGAGAACATATAGAAAGAGAACCAGCATATATTCACACAATTTTCAACAAAATCAAATTCTTTTCAATGCTTTCTTGGGAACATAAGTGAATACTCTCTCTCTCTCTCTCTCTCTCTCTCTCAGATTAAAACATAGCTGTTATTGTGATTTTCTTATCCCCTAACGTTGCAAAACCTTTATAATATTCAGTGGAAGATCATATAAATTTTCTGGTTTTCTCGAAGTTAAACCACAAAATCAGCATTTAAAGTTTAGATGAGCTAAAAACAACCTTCTGTTTATGGCATTCAAGGCAACTTTTGACCAGGGGATGTAAAAAGTGAGAGCAGAGTGGATAATCACGTACTTCTGCTTAGCCAAGGTCCAATTCATCTACCCTCACCTAAATGTGTCCGTTGACTAAGAAAATACATTTTTAAGTTTTGTTGCATTCTTAATTTAATTGTATTTAATAAAATCCTTAAAGCAGGATGACATTTCAAATTTCACTTTCACAAATGTTGTAGTACTAAATGTTGTGATTGATTAAAACATGTTTTCCCACTTGGTCATATCCTGTTTAAAATAACTATTAAAAGAATCTTAAGTGTCTAAACGACCACATGATTTAGGAATATAGTTCAGACTCCATTTTTCTTTATGCTTGGTTTGTAACTTCTTACAATATCATATATCAATTTTTGCTTGGTTCTTAGTTCTTCCTATCATCCAATTAACATATTTCTATGGGTCTTCTTATTAATATGAGAAGAGTTGACATCAGAAGGGTGTTGGTGAGAGAGACCAAAAAAGATAAAGAAAGAGAATAACCAGAAGAAAGTTCAGGTTTTCATGAAAACCAATACAAAAGGGA